AACTCAAAACACCAATTATTAATGAACCAGTTAACTCAAAACACCAATTATTAATGAACCAGTTAACTCAAAACACCAATTATTAATGAACTTCATCTTACCACTTGATTCACAAGTATTCACTCAAACCTAATAACCCTCTCCAGACAGGTCACGGGTCAAAGGCCATGTCATCTTGTTTGTTGACTCACATTCAAAACTTTACTGAACCATTATTGTATGAATTTATGTAAATAAGTTTGTTATCAAACTGTAGATTATAATTAAAATTTTAGTATTATACATTATTTAATTTCTTAATTTAAAAGTAAATATTAAAAAAAACACACAAACATCGATTTTTGTGTGTCACGTGGTATATTCAATGCAGCATTGGTTCAAATTAGATGTTTGTGAAGTCAAAATAGTAAGTCTATAGTTTCATACAAAATAGGATCTCAAATTACTGATATTGACAAGCTAGAATATAAAATAAGAACCTCATATCTTTTCTATTTGCTGAGATATCACTTGTTAACTGAATAAAACACAGTGGCCCCACTCACCTCTTTCCATTTTTAGAAATGGTCTCTTATGTACACTTATTTCTATATATGACATGTGAATAACCAATCGAAAGCTCAGAATATCCCCCTAGTGGCTTTCTCAGCCATTTAATAAGTAACAAGCAGATAGATAGTAGGGGTTTAATAAGTAAGAGACAGATAGGTAGTAGGGGTTTAATAAGTAACAGACAGATAGGTAGTAGGGGTTTAATAAGTAACAGACAGATAGGTAGAAGGGGTTTAATAAGTAAAAAGCAGATAGGTAGTAGAGGTTTAATAAGTAACAAGCAGATAGGTAGTAGTTGTTTAATAAGTAACAGACAGATAGGTAGAAGGGGTTTAATGAGTAAAAAGCAGATAGGTAGTAGAGGTTTAATAAGTAACAAGCAGATAGGTAGTAGGGGTTTAATAAGTAACAGACAGATAGGTAGTAGGGGTTTAATAAGTAACAGACAGATAGGTAGTAAGGGTTTAATAAGTAACAGACAGATAGGTAGTCAGGGTTTAATAAGTAACAGACAGATAGGTAGTAAGGGTTTAATAAGTAACAGACAGATAGGTAGTAAGGGTTTAATAAGTAACAGACAGATAGGTAGTAAGGGTTTAATAAGTAACAAGCAGATAGGTAGTCAGGGTTTAATAAGTAACAAGCAGATAGGTAGTAAGGGTTTAATAAGTAACAGACAGATAGGTAGTCAGGGTTTAATAAGTAACAGACAGATAGGTAGTAAGGGTTTAATAACTAACAGACAGATAGACAGTAGGGGTTTTATGATGCAAAGCACTAGGGTTATCTGTGACTAATGGATAAAGCTAATGTCTGTAATTTTAGACTTTAACAATTTGAAGTTAGTACATAACACTTAGGTTTGTAACATTACACCTTAACATAGGGAGGTAAGTTTTCTAACATTACACCTTAACATAGGAAGGTAAGTTTTGTAACATTACACCTTAACAAAGGGAGGTAAGTTTTGTAACATTACACCTTAACATAGGGAGGTAAGTTTGTAACATTACACCTTAACATAGGTAGGTAAGTTTTGTAACATTACACCTTAACATAGGTAGGTAAGTTTGTAACATTACACCTTAACATAGGTAGGTAAGTTTTGTAACATTACACCTTAACATAGGGAGGTAAGTTTTGTAACATTACACCTTAACATAGGGAGGTAAGTTTTGTAACATTACACCTTAACAAAGGGAGGAAAGTTTTGTAACATTACACCTTAACATAGGGAGGTAAGTTTTGTAACATTACACCTTAACAAAGGGAGGTAAGTTTTGTAACATTACACCTTAACAAAGGGAGGTAAGTTTTGTAACATTACACCTTAACATAGGGAGGTAAGTTTTGTAACATTACACCTTAACAAGGGGAGGTAAGTTTGTAACATTACACCTTAACATAGGGAGGTAAGTTTGTAACATTACACCTTAACATAGGGAGGTAAGTTTGTAACATTACACCTTAACATAGGGAGGTAAGTTT